TGAGGTTTCCTACCAATAATTCAAGCATAATAGAAGCTAGTTTTATTCCTGAATAAAAAAGACTGTTTCAAACCTACTTCCCGAAGATGCTCAGCATTTTGTGGGGTTTTGCTGGCTGTACACAATCCTGGACTAGTGCCTTCAGGGAAAAATATAGACTCTAGATTTCTTCCCTGGGTAGAATCAAACAGCCCACATCTACAAGGAAATACTTTATTTCAGTCCAACTGCAATATGTCCTCAAAATACCTCTTTAAAAATATTTTATAACCCACAACTTTAGAATTTAAACAAAGTAAAGAATGTGGGATCAGACAGGACTTCAGAGATCACTAAATCCAAATATCCTAATTTACAGATGAGAAAGATGAGGCTTACATGATTTACCAAAGGGCCAACTAGTTTTCATTAATTTATGCTGGCCTCAAATCAGAAAGTTATATTGATGTTCTATTTATAAGCCAAGCAGTGTGCTGGGGTCCAAGATTATATATGAGTCTTAGTAAATAATGAATTCATTTAATCTAAATCAGTGAGATTTTTTGCAATGAAACAGACACATCAGGAGAATCAGATAAAATTCCTTAATATAAACTGTTAAACACCTTACTTTTCCTATAAAGAGAGCTCTCTTTTCCTTTAGGGATACAGTCCAGTGTATATGTTAAGTATACTGGCTCTGGAGGTAGGCTACACATTTTAGACTCCTGATGTTGACTCTTTCTGGCCGTATAACCCTACAGCAATTTACTTAACAGCTCTGTGTTTGTTTCCTAATCTTTAAGGGGATAATCAAATTCTGTAAACAATCGTTTCACCGCTGGTACATGTAAGTGCTCTATAAATGTTAGGTGCTATTATTTTCCTTAGGGAGTTTTCTTTTTTTTTTTTTTAAGATTTTTTATTTATTTATTTGAGAGAGAGAATGAGAGAGAGAGAGTACATGAGAGGGGGGAAGGTCAGAGGGAGAAGCAGACTCCCCGCTGAGCAGGGAGCCCAATGTGGGACTCAATCCCGGGACTCCAGGATCATGACCTGAGCCGAAGAAGGCAGTCGCTTAACCGAGCCACCCAGGCGCCCTTAGGGAGTTTTCTTAACAAAACAGAAGAAAGTAACCAAAATATGGAGAAAGTGCCCTTTAAAAAGCAGCTATTAGGGGCGCCTGGGTGGCTCAGTCGGTTAAGCAGCTGCCTTCGGCTCGAGTCATGGTCCCAGGGTCCTGGGATTGAGCCCGGCTTCGGGCTCCTTGCTCGGCGAGAACCCTGCTTCTCCCTCTCCCTCTGCCTGCCTCTCTGCCTACTTGTTCTCTCTATCTCTCTGCCAAATAAATAAATAAAATCTTAAAAAAAAGCAGCTATTAAAATATAATTACGATCACTGTTTACTACAGTTAATAAAACATAAAGGGTAAAGAGGAAAAAATAGTTCTTCAAAGGGCAATTTGTAAGTTAAATCCTACTTAAAATACGTGCACGAGAAGTTTTACCTTTAATATTAAAAACAAACTTTACTGAAGTCCATTTTCAAAATCTTTCAAGAAAGAAAATGGTTAAGCACTAATGTCACAGTGTTTCTGGATTTCACTACAGGTCAGGCCTAGGTATATTAAATGACTGCTTAAACACGAGTGCCATGGCCACAGTGGTGTCCCTCAATAAGCTGCATCCTAGAATCCAACAAATATTTGGATTTTACTTTAAAATAATTACTAGTATTTTTACTCAAAGATAGCCTTTTTAAAAAGTTACGCAGTAGGAAGAATACGTGGTACTCTCTCCCTTGCAAGGGACGTACATCAAGTTGGAAAGCCAAGCCAGAGTGATGGAACATAGGATCTTAATAGCTGTGTGACCTTGGAAAACTCACTTATCAGGTCTTTAAAATTCATTATCTCATCTATAAATTGGTACTAACATCTATCTCTCAGATTTGGAGATGGTGAAAGAAGGGGGGCAGCAGAGGAGATAAACTAAGATTTATATGAAAATGCTTTGAGAATGGGTCCTACACATGTATACATTACTGCTCCGCATCCTCTTCTCCCATAGGCAGTGGGAGGGGAGGCCATGCAGCAAGCTAAGGTTAAACTGCAATCTGTGTGGGGGTACATAAGCAAGCCTTGGTCATTGTTCCTATTTTAGGTTTTTTCTGGAAATGTAAAACCTTATTACAGTCTCAGATTTTGTTTTTAAATACAGGACTCCAGAGATCAACCTTAATTTATGAAGACACATTAAGGCCAAGCATCCTCCTGCTTAGCACCCTCAAACTCGTAACAAAGAAAACCACAATACCTATTTATGTATTTCTTCCCTCCACCAGCACAGACTGAATGCTGCCATAACATGTGATGGTAAAATGTCTTTAAGAAATCTTTAAAGATATTTTAAAAAATTAATCCTATTTATGTAATCAGTATAAAAATCTGTTCTTCCAAAGCTGAAAAGGACTTTGATGAAAATCCCAGTAGTACTCAAAGAAAAATTTTAAATTTCAAGCTTGTATCACTTGATACTAGATGGAGCCTTACAAACTATTAAGCTCATAAAGGAGGAAATTTAATCCATTCTAAGATTGGAAGGATAGAAGTGTCTGGGGCCTCTAAGTACACTCAGTCACATACACTGATCCAGTGTCAAAAGCAGGTTAAAAAAAGCGTTAAAAGAAAAGCATGGTGCAACCTCAGCACATCAGGGACATCAAAAATGAACAAAACTGTCACTTTCGTTTCACTACAAACAGAACCATCTAAGTAATATCTAATGCACAGAAATAACTGGAGGAACTTACAAAATGAAAACAAAGTTCAGGAATCTTAACCTTATAATGGCAGTATTTGAAGTCTTTTTTAGAGTCATTAAAAAATAATCCGCTTCAATGAGGTCACATTAAGTCCATTTTAGTTTAACAATTAATAGTAATTTGTTTAAATTAGTAAACTTAAAACATTTTCTGGGGTTTTTTTCTTTCTTTTTTTTTTTTTTTTTTTTGCATTTGGATCCTAATCCATCTCTGCCCTATAAGTATCACTTATGTGGACACCAATTCAATTTTCAAAAAAAAGAGAATTCTAATAAAACATTTTCTAATTCAGTTAAGAGAAATCCATCACAAAAAGTCACCGTGCTGTTATCACTTTACAGGCATTATCTCATCAGTCCTCCCCATAACTCTACGAGGGAAGCATTATTATTTCTATAATATCCACTTTGAAGATGAAGAAACTAAGGTTTATAAATATCGAGGAACTTGTTTAAGATCATAGGGCCGTGACTGAACCCAGGTTAATATGCAGTAGGGACTTTTAGTCACATTAAAAATGAGGTAAAAACTAATTTCTCAACGAGCTCCACGTAATAAAGATCAAGAATCCTGTATATTCTAGATTGGCAACAATTTATAAAAATAAGTAATTTGTCTCTATCTAAACATTTTTATTAAAAGCAGACCCTGTCATGTAGCATTTGACTTCTTTGTTTCCTTTTCCTGTTTTTATATGTACATAAAAATAGGCTTGAGACACCAATACCAAAGTTTTAAAATTTAACCATCATTTTACAAGCAAACGTCAATATCTCGCATTTAAAGAATATGAAAGAAATGTCTTCTGTAACTGACTCAGGAGCTAAGCCTGCAAAAATGTGAATCTGTGATTTATTCTCCCTCCACGTCCAATACGCCCACCCTCAGAATCAGTAAAGAAATATACCTAACTTCCAGAGAGCAGAGGAGCTACTGAACAGAATTGAGACATTAGACCATTTCTCCTTATTACAATCATTTGGCTGAAGGGACTGGACTAGTTAAGGTGTTCTACTGTCCTTTACAAATTTCAGAATTATAAGTGACAGTTAAAAAGGCATTTGCAACAGGAGTCCATTGTACCCGAAAAAGCTGAATCAAATAAGAACATTTGTCACGATTACCCGGTCTCAATTTCTAGCTTCTCTGTCAATTATACAAAGAATCAGCTATTAAATATTAATGGCATGCCATTTGCACTGGAGTTCTTGCAAAGAGCCTCCTGCTAGCAATTTTTGTTATGAAAGAAAAACCGTCCTTTTTTTCTAGGTAAAACTCAAGCCTCTAGAATTCCTCAGATGGGCTACCGCATTTTGTCCTTCCCATGGGAGACTGTCAGGGCCACCTCCACATCCTGGGGAGAAAGAGCTCTGGGGAAGGCGGGTCCCCACAGGTACCGGGGCCGGGGTCCCCGTTCCTCTTCTTCCCCAGCTGTCAGCGACAGGTCCGGCGGCGGGGCGGGGCCGGGCCCGGCTGTCCGCACAAAGCGAGCGGGCGGGCGGACCCTGACCGGGACCGGGGTGGGGGCCGAGCGGGGCGGAGCGAGGCAGGGGACACTTACCCAGCAGCAGTACGTTCTTCCCCGCGGGGAGCTTGGAGCGCGAGCGGGTGGAGACCTCGCTGAGGATGCAGGACCTAGCGGGGAGCAAAGGCGCACGCTGAGGCGGGGGACCGGGGCCCCACCGCGGGAGGGACCGACCCGGCCTCGGCGCGCTTGGGCGGGGGCTGCCGAGAACGTAGTGGCCTCGGCAAGGGATCCCGAGGTGTCCGCAGGGCCGGGAGTGTCAGCGGGAACCCAGGGAAGGGTGGGGTCGTTACCAAAGGTTCTGCCCGTCCTCGTCGTCTCCCGCTGCGGCGCCGCCGTTGCCCGATGTTAGCTCGTTAGCCAAGGGGCCCCCTGTGTAAGTCGAGGCTAATCCCGGCGGAGAGGAACCGAAGGAGCCAACTCGCCCCACAGCCGCCATCTTGGTCGGGAATCACACCACTCCCCGCAAAGCTGAATGAGCGAGGCGGCAGCGGCGACGGCGACGGCGGCGGCGGCGGCGGCGGGAACCCGGATATGGAGCATTTGGTACACGGGAGCGGGGCGTGGTCTGCGGGGGCGGAGCCGCGGGCTCTGAGGGGACTGACGGAACGAGGGAGGACGCACCGCGCGTGCGCTGCTGTCTGTCGCCCGCGCGTAAGGAATGCGCGTGCGCGGGCAGCCCCGCAGGCGGATGTGCTGCGTCCCTGGTCCTACCGTACTCAGTTTGAGGAGTCTCCTGCCGCCCCACCCGCAGCCCTGGGCTGCAGCAGAGCGGGTTGGTGTGTGTCAGGTGAGCAGTGCTCCCTCCCACTCTTCATTCGGGTCTACAAACGCCGCAATCGGCGTGGAATTCCTGAACTCTCGTTGCCGTCCCACCCCCCGTAACCCCATTCAGGCTGAGCGGCCGCGGTCCCCCGCCTACCCCGGCACTTCACCCGCGCCAAGATGGAAATGGGCCGCCCCGCTGCAAAAGAGGCTTTGTGCAGCTCAAGTCCGGAGTGTTACTGGGGTCCCGGGATCTCTGGGCTCTCTACTTTGCATTCTCACGAGGCGCCCTGTTCCTCAGTCTTGGCCCCACATCTGAAGCAGGTTCCCCCGGACCCTAAGTAGCTGCGTGACAGAAAAAGTATTGACGGGGCTTGCTTTAATAATAGCCTCGGTGTTTTCGTATGAGATGCCCCGCGTGAGATTTGACAAGACCCACTAGGTGAGTCATCCATACATCCGTTTATTCAGCGCTTACTATGGCGGGCACAGTTGGCACTGGGCATACACAAATGGAAAAGAACCTAAAGTAGCCCGAAAATAACTCTCTATCAAAACTTGACTGGTTAAATTGATTTGAATGTCTGAGCCCCACCTCCAGAAAGAGTTGATGGTTTTTGTTTTGTTTTTGTTTTTTTTAGATTTTATTTATTTGACAGCACAAGCAGGAGAAGCAGCAGACGGAGAGGGAGAAGCAGGCTCCCCATTAAGCAGGGAGTCCGATGCGGGGCTGGATCCCAGGACCCTGGGATCATGACCTGAGCTGAAGGCAGATGCTTGACCGGCGGAGCCACCCAGGCGCCCCAAGAGTTTATGGTTTTAAGGCTTGTCCTAGTGCATCTTGTCAGAGCCTTTGCTTAAAATAATGTGTCCCTTTGTACATTATTGCTGTCGTATTTGAAGATCACTTGCTAATATGTGATCTGATCATTGCTATTAGGCTAGTGAGAAAATCCATAGCTAAAGACTGTGTTTTTTTTTTACAGGTTAACAGTGCAGGTAGAAGCCTAGAAGGCTTTGGAGGCTGGCAAATCTGAGTTGAGATTCAGCTCTATCAGCAACCATAGACCATTTCCTTAACCTTTCCCCAGTCTCGGTTTCCTTATCTGTAAGATGGGGATAAAAGGACCCAGAATTTTTATGGAGATTAATGGGACGAGTGATGTAAAATGGCTTAGAACAGTGACTGACAAATCCTGAGTGCTTGATACACGTTTATTTTTAATGACTAATGTTTTCCTTTACCGTTCAAACCATTCATGTCTGACCAACCCCTGGAATTGATAGGCCTAATGAACTCCTGCAGCTAAAACTCTTCATTTTTTGTTAGTTTGTTTATATGGTTAGGAAAGGAACCAGAACCTAGTGTTGGGATCCCAGGCTTTCTTTGGTGACATGCAGGACAGGGACTTCTGGGGGAACCTGGGTGTTTAAGTCACTGCTATAAAGGAGAGCTGTTTACTGCCCTGGGCCCCCCTCTGAGAGTTGATTCACTCTGTACTTTACTCCCTCAGTCATCTTTTCTTGTCAGAGCATTGTTTTCCCCAATTTTGTTTGTATACAGAGTTAGTTCCATATCACATTTACTTAACCTGGGAAGTATTAACTTTATAATGGTGTCAGGCTTTTAATGCCCCATGACTTTTAGATGACCAACTACCCACTTATACCGAGGTCAAAGTTGTATTACATGTGGTTTTATAATATTCCCTATCCAGCATTGTTCTGTTAAGATGGCTGACAAAAGTGGTTATTTATGATACCTACTAAGTGTCAGGCACACTATGTGTTATGGTTTGCAATCCTCATACTTTGTAAAGAATAAGCGAAGTTAAGTAATTTACCCCACAGGTTGAAGGTAGATTAATTGAGATTTTGACTTTCTAACCTATCAAATGGCCTAGGTCAAATTACATTAGAATAAATATCCTGGCAACTTTTGATACTGTTATGGTAAATATCTTCTATAGAAATCTCTACATAACAAAAATAGAGAACATTTGTAGTATAAGGAAATCTATAAAAGGAAAGATTCCAGCAATCCCTTGGAATTTTTGTTAAATAATTTGCTACTTACAATTGAGCTATTTCCTATACTATGATTACTTTTCTTTCTTCCCCTACTTTTTGTTACATCCAAAATTAACAACTCTCTTGGTTTTCCATTTGCTTAGATTTCTATGCCCTTAATTCTCATTCAGTCTCAAATTCTTGTCCTAGTTGCTTAAAACCTCTCATTAGGTATTTGAACAATTTCATCTTAAACACATCTTTAAGAATTTTCTTTCTGCTTCAATTTGAATTGGTTGTTCTGTGTGCCTAATACAAAGCTGTCATCATGGGATCTTCTCTCACCATTGTTCTAGGGGATTTCCTTTGCCTCATTCCTGTGCCTTCTCTTATTTTAGTGGAGAACTTCCTCAAATAGTTTTGTGAAAAAGGGTGTATGGTTACATTTTTGGAGATACCCAGCCAGGGTCTAGCTAGGGAAAAAATGGTATTCTTGAGGCAGTGCGAGGTGAAAGCTCAACAACTATTTACAGAGGTGAGATGGGGCTAGGAAGGCCAGGAAGATTTAGACCTGAAGGGGAAAGAGGAAGAAGTGTTTACTAGAATCCAGAGAGAGTTGCAGTTGTAGGAAAGAATTTCTCAATAAGTCTGTGACTTCAGTAAAGGAACACAGCACTGACTTCTCTCTTTCTGCCCCCTGGTATCTTGCCAGTGTCTCATGTTGGCCAAACCCAACCAGAAGCTGGAGGACAAGAGAATTCAAGTGAAGCAGTCCATGCAGGTCTACCTCCCAGAGCACAAAGAAGGATAGAGAAGAGTGGAAAGTAGATCTGGAGGGGCAAATGGAAGATATCCAGCACACCTTACATGTTTGAAAATGCATTTAGTCTATACTCCGTGATAGTTTGGCTGAGTATAGAATTCTTATGTTGCAAGTTATCTTCCCTTAGGTTTTTTGTTTGTTTGTTTGTTTTTAATTTTTATTTATGAGAAAGAGAGAGCACAAGCAGGAGTGGGAGAGGAAGAAGCAGACTCCCTGCTGAGCAGGGAGCCCGATGTGGGGCTTGATCCCAGGACCCCGAGATCATGACCCGAGCCAAAGGCAGACACTTAACTGTCTGAGCCTCCCAGGCGCCCCTTCCCTTAGGTTTTTACCTTGATCCCTTATCTGCTGGATTCTAATATTGGCACTGAGAAATTCAAAAACATTCTGATTCCTAATCTTTTGTTATATGTTCTTCTTTTCCCTTCTTTGGAGGCCTCTAGAACTTCCACAGATTTCTACTAACACATTTACCACACCCCCCCACACACACTGTCTGTAATTTCATACCAATTTTCCTCCCAGTTATCACAGAAGAATAATCTACACTCAAACTAAAGGAGTCTCTCCACTTAACACACTAGATTCCATCTCTTCTCCTCAACTCTAGGACATTGCTCCAACAATTCTCCCCCCTTTATATAATCATTTATTGATCTCCACTAGATCATTTCCCTTGCATACCAACATGCTATTCTCCCATTTAAAAAAAAAAAGAAACCTCTCTTAATCCTACTTCTTCACCAGCTACTGCTACATTTCTTTCCTCTCTTTTTTTAAAGATTTTATTTATTTATTTTGGCAGAGAGAGACACAGCAAGAGAGGGAACACAAGCGAGGGGAGTGGGAGAGGGAGAAGCAGGCTCCCTGCTGAGCAGGGAGCCCAACGTGGAGCTTGATCCCAGGATCCCGGGATCATGACCTGAGCCGAAGGCAGACGCTTAACGACTGAGCCACCCAGGTGCCCCATACAGCAAAACTCTTTAAAATAGTTGTCTTTACTTGGTGTCTTCAATTCCTCTTCCCCCTTACCCTTATAACCCACTTCAATCACTTTTATCCCTCTGACTCCACAGAGACTACTTTTATACTTGTGATCAATAACCTCCTTTTTGCTAAATCCAGTGGTAAATTCTCCATCCTTGCCTTTCTTAACCCATCAGCAGCACATGGTACTCCTTGTGGATATCTGTCTTCACATGGCTTCCAGGTCAGCATGTCCTCCTGGTTCTTTCCCTGCTTCCGTAGCTGCTCCTTCTCAGTCTTCACCATTTCCTCATTTTCCTGACCACTTAATGCTAAAGGACTGCAGGGCTAGGTCTTCGTTCCTCTTCTCCATCTATACTCCCTTGGTGATCTCATCCAGTCTCATTACTTTAAATCTCAAATGTATGATAAAAACTCCCAGATTATCTCTCTAGCCTAGAGCTCCATGTGGAACTCCATATTAATATATGCAACTGCTTATTCCACATCTCCACTTGGATGTCTAATAGCATGTTTCAAACTCAATGTGTTCCAAGCTGATATTCTGACCTTCCCAAGAAAAGGCTCCTCAACCCCAAGACCTTCCCACTGGGTAGCAACTCCTTTTTGCCTGAGTCATTCTTGACTTCTCTATTTTTCTCACATTCCACATTTAATCCATTAGGAATCCTGTAGTCTCTACCTTCCAAATATACCCACCATCCAACTTCTTGTCACTCATCCACTGATGCCACCTTGGGCTAAGCTATCGTCTTTGCCTAAATTACTTTAAAAGGCTCTTCATCATGGCATCTAGACGGATCCTTTAAAAATGTAAGCCAGATTGGGGTGCCTGGATGGCTCAGTCATTAAGCATCTGCCTTCAGCTCAGGTCATGATCCCAGGGTCCTGGGATCTAGCCCCACATCAGGCTCCTTGCTCAGCAGGAAACCTGCTTCTCCCTCTCCCACTCCCCCTGCTTGTGTTCCTTCTCTCGCTGTCTCTCTGTCAAATAAATAAAATCTTTAAAAATATATATATAAGCCAGATCAATACTTAGGGGCACCTGGGTGGCTCAGTTGATTAAGCATCTGCCTGGGATCGAGCCCTGCATTGCACTCCCTGCTCAGCAGGGAATCTGCTTCTCTCTCTCCCTCTGCCCTTCCCCATCCCTGGCTCGTGCTCTCTCTCTCAAATAAATAAATACAATCTTAAAAAAATACATATATATATACACATATGCACATATGCATGCACATATATATAAGCCAGATCATGCCACTCCTCTACTCAAAATCCTATAGTGGCTCCTTATTTTAATCCGAGTAAAAGCCAATGTCCTTACAATGACCCAATAGGCTGTACAGGATCTGGCCCCTACTGCCTCTTTGAACTTTTCTGCTCCATTCTCTCCATCGATTTCTCACATCCAGCCACATTGGCCCCACTGCTGTTCCTTAAACTTACTGTTTATCCCTTTGCTTTAGCTGTTTCCTCTGCCTTGAAGGATGTAAGGAGCTGCCCAAGCCAGTATCTTCCCGCAGACAGCCACTTAGCCAACTCCCACTCCTCCTGCAAGTCTTTGTTCAGATCTCAGCTTCTCAGTGAGGTCTACCCTGACTTCCCCATGTAACACTACAACTTGAACCTTCACCCCTGCAATTTCAGATTTTTCTTACCTTGCTTGCCTTTCTGTTTACCATAACACTACCTTCTAAGATAGTATAACATTTGCTTATTATTATCTCCTAACATAGTATAGAATTTACTTATTTATCAGAACATATCAGAACTGTAAGGGCTTCATTAATGAACCAAAAGTGCTTTGTGCCTAGAATATAGTAGACATTCAGTAAAGAGTTGTTGAAGGTATGAATAAATGAACAGATGTACTCCTTGTCACCAGGGTTCTAAAATTTCAGGATGATGATGTATATGTATGATATGTGTGTGTGAAGAGGGCACAAAAACATTCTTCAGTCCAAAACTTGAAAGCAGGACCTCTCTTTTACAGTATTTTAATTATTTTTTATATAAATCCTAAAATGTCTTACACATTCTCTTGCTTTAACAGGTTATGTGAATACAGACTTACCTTTTCTTGGAGGCTGTGGACTGTTAAATTCATCAATAACAGTACCCTGTGTTTGTATGAGGAAGTGCTTAGATCCTACTGAGATGCCCCTGAGGTATACCACAGATGTCTTCTTTAGTCTGATTTCTAATTCAGCTGAGCCCTGGGGCCTGGAAGTGGGAAATGGAACACAAGCCAGAAGAGAGACAGCTCCTTCTTTCTCCAGCTTTCTGTCTCCTGGGAGGTACATGCCTGTCTTCTCTCTGTCAGCCATCATCTCCTGCTCAGTTACCAACTTCTTAAAGGCCACAGTTGGATATTCTTCATCTCAAGAAAAGGGATTGTTTGGCAGGGCCAAGAGCTCTGAAGAAAACCAGTCCGGGAGGGAACCTTCTGTGGGGCTGAAGTGAGGCGATACAGGCCACTTCCTCTTTTTGTTGGGGATGCTTTCCTTTGTGTTTGAGAACTGGGACAAGGCAGCTACCCCTTGAGCTGCTTCCTGTTGTACCAGCTCCCACAGGCTGCCTCCAACAGATTTTCAAATAAGACCTGCTTCACCCACTGTGCCAAATCCTGGCAATCGCAGTTGATATAAATGCCATCTGAAAAGCCAAAATAAAAAAAAAGAAAAGAAAAATAAGCAAGATGAGTGGACCCTAGAAGTTTGACTCTGTGAGCAACTCAAATAATGAAATAGTGTTGGAAAGAACTTCAGTGATTAAATAGTCCCCATCCACTACTCAATATGTGTGTGTGTGTGTGTGTGTGTGTGTGTGTGTGTGTGTGTGTGTAACAAAATGGTAATGTTAGAACTGGCAGATTCCTTGCTTACAAACTCTCCCAGCAGTAGATCCAGGGATCCAATTAGAGGAAAAACAGATGCCCAGTGTTGCTTGTTTTTCCTTTACTTTGAGGCCTGTTTATCTCATTCCAAGTACCTACGTAGAATGAATGAAATGATGGGTATCTAATTCATTTTTCAGTCACCAGTCCCTTGAATTATAGACCTGTCCTCTCTCTTACTACTCATCTAGGATTTTTATCAGGTTAGCCCTCCCAGAACTTCATATCTTAAACAAAGAGTTGGGGAAATAAATACCCAACAGGAGAAATAGACTTTCTTGGTATTTTTGTTTTTCCTTCATAGAAAACACTAGGAAGAGAATCTCCTCTATTTCTAGGTCTAAAAAAATTTTTTTTTCATTTGCTTAGAAATGTATCATTGAAAAAGAATACCTCCTGAATATTTATAAAATTCCAGGATAGCGTAATAGTTAGAATTACCTTTTCATTTCAGAATCAGCTCCTAACCACGATATCTGTATCCATTCCTGGAAAATGGGTGATGAATGAAAGGGGAATAGCTTATAAATCAATTCATGTTCACAGATGGTCAGTGCAATGCACAGGGAAAACAAAGAGACTTATCTTTTAGGCTAGAAGAATGTTTCTTTTTCATCTAAGTGTTGTAATTATCTACTTACACATTTTTAAATACAGAATAGGTAGGATTTTTAGAATGCTTAGTTGTCATTGTTTTAATCTGTTCTTTACCACTGAGAAGAAAGAAAGGTTCACTGATTATAATTAGTTGGATATTTATTATGTAGATTTTTGGAAAATCCCATTTCCTTGTAATTAAATACTCTGAAATTCAAGTCCATTTCCTTTTTTTTTTTTTTAAGATTTTATTTATTTGAGAGAGAGGGAATACGAGCAGGGGTAGGGCAGAGGGCAAGGGAGAAGCAGACTCCCCACTGAGCAGGGAGTCCTATGCGGGGCTCTATCCCGGGACCCTGGGATCATTAACTGGCTGAGCCACCCGAGTGTCCCCAAAGTCCATACTTTTTTTAAAAAATAGTGATTTTAATGTCACTTACTTCTTAGATTTCCAGTGTTACTCTGCCACTCTCCTTCCTAAAAGAGAAGATAACTATTAACTGATTTTATAGATTGAGATCTGCAAACATTAGGTCACAAAGGGCATTAAGTTTTTCTGCTTTGGGTGCTCTACATGAGGCAAAATAGAAAAAAATATGAAATTCCCTGGTATTTTTAGAAATGTGCTCTCTTTTGTAACTGCAGGTGATGTCATATTCATAACAGTTTAGTATGCTCCAGTCTAGAGCTAATTATGGTCTCATTGCTTTTACTAAAAGTATGCTTAGAATTATAACCTATTATATTGTGCACCAACAAAAGCATTATATATGTTTCTTTTTTTTCCCCACATGGCAGAGGATGAAAGAGTTGCTCAGTGGGAGATTTCTTTTAGGCAAAATGAATCAGTTATTTGACACTATATAAGATCAAAGAGTTGTTTATTTGAAGGTGTTTAAGGAGAGTCTAATAACCCTAAACTTTTTACTAGTAGGAAACATAGAGTTGCCTAGTAATGTAAAAGTGAAATCAAGAAGCAGAACGTCCTTCTGATCCTTTCTCAGTAAGTCTCATTCAACTTCATCTTATATTTCAGTTCATCCATTGGTAAATGTGGAATAGCCAGATAACCCACTAGACTTTGCACCTTGATGTGTGTGTGTGTGTGTGTGTGTGTGTACACATACACATTTTTTTCATATACCAGCTCTAGTCTAAGAAGTTTATTAACCATATGATCTCATGGTTTAAAATTTTAAATAGCAATATCATATTGAGTCTGACATTTTAGACTCCATACCATCAAAACTAAGTAGTAGATTAAACAAAGTTATAAATCGGTGATATAGACAGCTAATTTGCATCATTTAGATGAAATAAAACCTTTGGACTCGGTGTTTGGAGTGAGGCACATGGGCTAATGGGTCACACAGTCCAGGCTCCAGAATCAGACCAATTTGAGTTCACATCTCGACTCTGCCACTTACTAACAGTGTGACCTAGAAGTTGTTTAAACTTTGCAGCCTCAGTTTGCTCAACTCTAATAGAATTGTCATGAAGAGTAAACAAAATCTGGCATATAGTGAGGACTCCATAAATGTTCGCAGGAATATTTACTCTTATTTGAGATAGAAAGTGTTTTATAGAACAGAGTTTCTGTGTTCAAATGGTTTAAATGTTTCACAATTCCCCAGAAACCTTGTTAAAATGTAGATTCTAGTTTAGTAAGCCTGGGGTGGGGCCTGTGAGCCTGCCTCTCCAACAAACTTCCATGTTGGTATCCTTATTGCTGGATCACAAACCAAGGGCATGTAGGAGAAAGAACACAGGCTTTGGATTTATCCATCCATGGACTGGAATTCTGGCTCCACGCATGGTAGCAATATGACCTTGGCAATGTCAAGCTTCCTCTTTTCTGAGATGGAAAGAACAATATGCATTTCTAATTAAATCAGTTTTCATTTAAATAAAAAATAATGTATTCACACAATACCTGGCATATTATAGGTGCTCACAAATCTAAATTCAGTTCATATGAAATGCTTTAGTGGTCCCTCTAGTATGGGAGACTGACAGTTTCCCTTCCTGAAAGAGCTGAAAATTCCAATTTTCTTTGAAAACTTAATTAAAATTCTATTATTATGAAATCAACATCAACATTGTTTTAAAAGTTTGTCATTACATGGCAAGCAAGTCAATTCATAACAGATGTTGTAGGAACAGATTGGGAAATTGCCCCAGGCAAGTAGTGGGTCTAAAGTCACTGTGGATAGAATTTCTGCAAGTGTAGGTAACTGAGAAATGCTAGCTCATGAAGTATTATATCTTACTAGTATGACTTTTACTTTTTTTAGTATGAAAAATTAAAAGCATATATCACAATAGAGAGGTTTGATGAACCCCACATACCCATTACTAAGCTTCAGTAGTTACTAGCACATAGCCAGTCTTTTAGTTTGACTCTCGCCATCTTCCTTCATCTCTGAGTTATTTTAAAGCAAATCCAAAATACGGCATTATTACATCCATAAATATTTCAATATATATCTTAAAGATTTATTTATTTATTTGAGGGGTGGAGGGGCAGAGGGAGAGGAAGAGAATTTCAAACAGAGCCTGACTCAGGGCTGGAGCTCATGATCCTGAGATCATGACCTGAACCAAAAATCAAGAATCGGACACAACCAACTGAGCCATCCAGGCGCTGCCCCTCCATATATATCTTTAAAAATAAGGATTCTTTTTCTTAAAAAAACAAAAACAAAAAACCGCACTATAATACCATTATAATAATCATTTCAAACAAAAATGCAACTATTGAATTTATATTTAAATTGCCATACAATTTTTACTACAGGCAATAAGATATACATGTTAAAGTAGAATTCAAAATAGCCCAGCACTTAAGAACAGAGTAAATACACTTGTTCTCTAACCATTGCTATTGTCAAAGGAGGCAGAACAATCATTGTCTCATCTACACAACTGACCTTCTCAGCATCCCTCCTCTCAGGGCTCCCTCTGGGTCCTAATTGGTCTGCCAAGTCTAGGTGTTGATTTCTGCCCCACATTGTCCCCTGTATTCTGAGGCTTCTCTGCTTAATTCTTTCTAGCTGAGGAGGGAGCAACTGCTTTTCACTTTAGCTAGAAGCAGGGCACTCCTGACAAGCAGATCTGAGGTCTAGGCTCTCACAAAAAATGTTAGAGCTGGAAGGGATTTCATGGTTCGGCCACTAGATATGAAAACAGGCAGGAGTATTAAGGGACTAAACTTTTCAAAATACAGGCAATTATTGTACATCTAATCTGACCTTTCTGTGATGATAAAATTTCAGTCAAGGAGTTTGATCCTTATTTTACAGCATTTGGTTAGTCTCTAACTTCCGGCTAAGGTCCAAACTTTCTTGGTTTGGACATTTAAAAATACACACTATTAGAGTAAAAATAAAGTTATTAAGGAAGATGAAAGGTTTTTCAATGTTATCTCACTGAAATCTTCCTTGAACTCATGAAATTTCCATTTTAATTTCTAATTATAAAATATTTCAAGTATATACATATCAAAAATATATTGCTATTAATATGCATCAATAATATACACATTATATAAAATTAATGTTATAGCACCATGGAAAGTTTTCCCCTCTTAGAATTTTCTTTTATTGAATATATTTGACGTATGACATAGATATAAAGTATAATCCTCTTAGGGAATTTTTTGAAGAAAGCCCACTCTACTCGCATACTTTTCCAATCCTTTTTTCATTAGAGTTAGTCTTTGTCTTAAAAATAGGTGAACTTAATTCTCATGCAGATCTCTATTCATACAGTCAATTGTTCTGTGTGTTTTCAATTTTTACATTATTATATACTGCATGTACATTTTGCAAATCGCTTTTTTCATTCAGTGTTATATTTTCAAGATTGAGCCATGTAGATATACATAGGTGGGTTTTGAATTGTTCATTTTAATTGCCATATACAATTGTACTGTATGACTAAGCCACAGTTTTTTAATTAATTCACTATCCCTCAGAGGAACAGTTAGGTTGTTCTATTAGACATCTGTTATTAGAGTTATCACTAGGTGCCCTATA